ATACACGCACACACACAAGTGCAGCAAGTGCAATTTTCTGCCAACTTGGCCGCACATTTGTGGAGAATTGTTAGGGAAAGAACATGGTGAAAAGCGCAAAATCATTACGATTTGAATGCCATAAAATGCGTTTTCTCGTTTCGAAAGCGGGTATGGTGGGATTGCGGGATTGTGGGTGGTTTTTGGGATCAGCCTGACAAAAAAAATGGAAAGGGGACAGAGGTTCGGGTATTGTGTGCTTAACCGCAAAGTGAGCAGGAAAATGTCTTTTTTAGTCGACAGCTAAACACTATTCAGTCTGCCACTCCCAGTCGCAGTTGCACTCCCTTCTATTTTGTCGCTCCCCTGACATAATAAACTGAACTGTCGTATACATGCCACGCCTCCAGCTCACCCACCGCCCACCTCGAACGCCCTGAACGTTTCTGCCATTTTCCTCGCACATGCAATTGGCAGAAGAAAACTCAACACACAAAAGGCGTCGCGTGTACTTGGTTGGTCTCTATTATGTTTTTTTTCACTTTTCACTTCTTTTTTTTTATATTTGTCCCGGTCAACTGTGGGCAAAAACAAAAGGCGAAGTATAAGAAAGTCGCTTGCATTGCACTTACCCCCCAACAGCCCCGCCTGCCCCAAAAACACCTGGGCTTTCAGCGTGATTTCGCCTTCAGTTGGCCAAGCGAGCTCCCCGAGCAACAGAAACAATCAAATTCAGCTTAACGACAAGCACTTGACTTACATACCCCCAGATGCAGACAACTGTAAAAGGACACCAGCTAGCAACAAGGACTACAATTAAGTGGGACATCTAGGACTCGAGAAGTGTCCTGTGGCCTCAGACATAGGTAACTTTCAAACTAAGTCCCACAAAATGCGAATTTTTGTTCGTTTAATTCGCATAATTCGCATAATTCGCATAATCCAATTGACTCAAGACACTTTCTGCCCGAATAAGGAGCTGCACTGCCTCATAAGGCTCTTATCCTTCTTAAGGCAATGAGCATACTGGCATCCTTAAACTTTCACATCACCAGAGTCTTACTTTCCCCAGCTTCTTCTGGCTGTAACTCGCTTACAACTTCCTCGAGTGCCGGGTGCATCTTTTCACATATCCTTTTCCCTCCTCCTGAATAATCATAAACCAAGTGCGCCGCAAAGTATGCAATGCATGTGCGAAACTACGCTGTCTTTTTGGGTGGCGTTTTTGTGACCTGCAGGAGGGCGAATTAAATGGCATTTTGTATTGATTTCAATTAAGCTGTGCGCACTTATCCGGCTGGGGGCAAACTTTTCCTCTATCACAGCCACGAGAGTGTGAGAGTGCTTTCACTTTCCCGGCAACTCGAGTGGCGTGTTGCGTATACGCCTCGTTGCGCTGCAATTGGCTGGGGCGCCCCTGATTGATTGTCTAATTGTATCGGCGGCAAGTGTGCAACCATCGACGTGTGTAGTTGGCGATCTTCCATTTCCAGCTGATTGGGGGCCACCCCTGCTCCTTGCCACGTAATCTAAAAAAAATGTGATTTTAATGTGTTCCTAATATCACACACGCACACCGAGACATCAGCAGGAATTTGGGAATTTGAGGGGGGCTACGAAAATATAACTCGATATTTATAGCCCGCAATTTTCTCGGAAGACGCGTGGGAGTGCCGCTTGTAATCCTTTCGGCAAAAGGGGCATAAATACTTCTGCAAATGCTATTTGTGCGCGCGCACATGTCGCAAGGCATTAAAATGTCAAATTTGGCATGTTGAATTCGCCCTGGCACTTCGAATTTTATTTGCCATTAGCCCGCGCGGAATTTAATTAATGCCTCTAATCGTAATGAAAAGTTATGCGCCCACACACAAAATTAAAAGCCAATTAGGCGGTGACGAGAGCCCGAGGGCCCATAACTCAAGCGGTTGCCCCACCCGCGTGAAATGCAACCGCTCCTGGCGGGCCCAAATGGGCGCCCATAAATGCCAATCATTGCAGTCCGGCTCCAGGCGCTTTCTTTTCGTCCTTCGGTGGCCTCGTCCTTTGGACTTGAGGAACAAAAAGTAAGGCAAAAAGGCAGGCGGGCAAAAAATAACAATTCAGCTTTTAATTTCATTGCTTTGAGCACTCTCCTGGGATTCGCATGATAAATGGCGCCGGCCAAGCCAAGTTCCGTGGAAAAGTGGGGCGGCAGCCAAGTTCATTCACACGAACTGTGTAAATACAAGGAGCCGGCTATCTGCACTGAGCGAAAATGCCGCGTGAGTGGTCAACGCTTGCATTGAGCCACAGTTACGAGCTGTATTATGTTTGCAGTGCCTTCGCCAGTGAAAACTAATTAATTTATTAATTAATATGTTTTAAGCGCTCTAAAGTGCGCAGCAATATGCAGCTAATGATAAATGTCAAATAAATGCATGGCAAATGAATTTCATTCGCACCAATGAGCTTAAACCTTTTGCAAATTACTACCAAAATACTAAGTGCATTTACATAATAATCGCACGAACCTGCCTAATATTTGCCTCAGTGTGGCGAATGCCATCGCCCGGTAATCCCTCAAAATGTGCGAGTATATATCTCGAGCGATTCCACGAGTGGCTAACCCTAACCCAAATCGAACTTTCAAATTCGTGGCCAACTTTTCTCACTCGAGAAAACGGAGTAGGAGGAGGCAAAGCATTCGCCTGATATTGTTTTAATAAAATTCGAATCGACTCCCACACCTCAGCGTGGCAGCCATTTTGTATTTGCCCCAACATTTTAATCTAATTTCAATGTTCTCGCCCCAAAAAAGTGAGCGGCAACAAAGGCAAAACGTGGAAAAGTTTTGCTGTACCAAAAAAATAAAAAAAGCAGGAATTCACGCAGTGCAGGGTCGATTGGCGAGCAAAATCCTGTGGTCAGTCGTGGGGCTGACCATCCGAGTATACACATACATACTCCCCTTTTCTTCAGCCCCCCGATTTCTATCCGCCTGTCAAAGCGGTAAAGTTAACGCCAATTGCCGGCGCTCTCAATTAACTTTGATTAAATGGCAGCAATCCGCGCTGGCAACTTTTTCGCCTTCATCCTTTGCAGGGAAGTGGTATTAGCATAACTCTGACAAGGGGTTCTGTGCACTGGACTTGTGTCGTCCATAAATACAGCTTAGCTCCAAATGTCCGAAGGGAAAACGCGCAGGACGACCGCGAAGAGCTCGCTACTCAGTGCCAATCTTCAGATGAACTGTGACTAGGGTGCTTCCTTGCAGCTTGTGGTTACTTGGACAATATTCAATTGTCCCTAGGTGGTCTTAAAATGGAACTCAAAGTGCCAAGCAGTCAGGTAGCAAGACGACGCCTAAAAATAGCAGCCATCATTAATAATGTCGGTTCAATCAGCTGGCAAACTGCGAAACGATCAAGCTACAAAGGCATACAAAAGCTGGAAAAAGCTCGGGATTGGGATTTAGATTTGGTTCTCCATGGAAATCGTCATGGTGGCTGGCTAATTGCCGGCTGTTCCAGCTGGAGCAGCTAGTTCTATTAGGATTTGATTTGACCCAAAATGTTTGCCTTTGACAGGACGACAGTACACGCTCTGGTACTCCTTTTTGGCCCCAAACTCTGCTGGTTGGACCCCTTTTCATTTGCATTTCGCAGCTTGCCTTTTTGCGCCTAATTAAGATGACCGGCGATGCAGGCAGCCAGGACACGACGGAACCTGCAGTGCCACGGCTGCCTCCTTTGAGCCAAAAACTGCACAGTGGCTTCCCAGCAGAAGCGACTGACCCGGCTTATTATCTCATCTAATTTACGGGGCTTCCCCTCCAGCCCTCCCCCCCTCCATCCCTCCACCACTGGCCCGGCTAAATGAAATCAAGCCGTGTAATGAGCAAAAAACTTTCTAAAATATGCCAATGCTCCCCAAGCAAAGATGGAGTCCATAATTTTCTGTTAACGAAAGCACCGAAATTCCCCTGCTGCTCCAGTTGCACTGCACTTTGAAAAAAAGATGTGCAAACTGTTTACTCATTTGCATATACTTGTTTTTTGTAAATAAATGACTAAACTAAATTGAAACAATATAGTAGCGCTAATTATGGCCAAATGCATTTCGGATTTTGGAAAGACACGAAATTCGCTTGGTTCCGAATCGTTAAATATCCACATATAGGTAAATGCATATTTACCTAAGTTATTTAAGCAAGATGCACTTTCCCAGGATTCTTTTGTCAGAAGCTTGACTCATTTTCGTCAACTGCATGTACTACATTTTAATAAAAACAATTGCGCGCATTGCGCTTCCATTTGTGAAGTGGGCAAAATTATTCAGCGAGCTGCGACAGAATCGCAAAAATTTTAATTGTCGCATGCCGCTGTTGCTGCTGTTGTTGTTCTTGTTGTCGACACATCCTTTGGGTCCCCACACACACACACACACACACACACACACACACACACACACACACACACACACACTGCAGCTTACAGCGCCTGGAGCTGCAGGATATCTGCGCTGCCGGTGTCCTGGGCAATGTTAATGTGTCCATTGTGCTGGTTAACAAAACCAATTTGCCTTAGTGGATTTTTATGTTGCGCTTCGGTTTTGCAGTTCCGGGGCAACAACACTTTTGTCTGCGGCTTTCCGAGTTTGTTTGTTTGCTTGTTCGTCCATTTGTCAGTTTGTTTGTTTTGCTGCTTTCGCCGTCTCAACTGGTTATGAACTTTTGGCCATTGGTGTACCTCATGATTTGCTTTTAATTGCACTCCGCCGCCGGCTCACTGCAAAATGAGTCCAAATGCAAAGAAATGCGGCATCTAATTTGGTTGTGGTAATAGAAATGTAGTAATGCCTTGAATTAAAATCAAGTGGCCGGAATTTAAGCCTGGCTTAAATTAGAAGGCTTTTTAGATCATAATCATGGGGAAATGTGCTTGATTTTGGTTGCAATCAAATTGGTTATAATCCCTACACCTTACCAATATGAATAATTGCCTATACATGCATTTAATAATTATCTCTTCGATTTCCAGCTACCAGCAACCGAACCACGTTCCTGACAAACAGACTTGCAACACATAAAGTGACCAAACCTAAGATGTCGACGCATCGGATCATTTTTCTGGCCATTCTGTGTCTGCTAGCAGGTGAGTTCAACTATGTATACCTATATATATATATATAGAGGGCAATTCTGGGGCCAGGGAAGTGGGGTGGGGGTCACCTGTTCTGCGGGGGCAAGGGGCAACTGGTGGCAGCTGCCACGCCCTCTGTTTCAGGAAGCAAACCTCTTTTGCATGCGCGGCACGTAAAAACAATTTCGTTTGGCTTGGGCATCCGCGACTGCAGCTTCATCAGCAGCATGCCGTGCAGAAATTGTTTTAAATCATCTACTCCGCCATCTATTTTATAAACTGAAATTTAAAATAACAAGCTGTAAGCGTGCTTTGATTATTCTGGGCGTGGCACGAAGGAGGAATCCTGGCAGGACTCGGAATAGAAATGGAGATAAAATGGAGGCAGCAGCAATTCAGCGCATCGCAAATTGCAAATTGAGCAGAAAAGCATTCAGTTGGCGACTTTTAGGGGAGGAGAAGGGGCTTCTAGATGCCAGCAGGCCATATTTCAGGTTTTCCGATCAAATGTACTGCAGATGCAACACAATGCTCGTGGAAACATGAGTAGTTCGATTGCAATCCCTCCTAGTTCTTCGTTAATTAACAGACAAAAACGATACATTTGAGTGCCTAGTGCTTTTGTTTTTTATGGCAGCAGTTCAGTTGCCATATCAAATGGCTTTTGGAGGTAAACTTAATGTTCGAGCAATCAATAAAATGTCAACCAGGAAGCAATTGTGGGTCTGAAGTTCGTGCCTTTCCACTTTCGTGCCGAGTTAATTTTGTTGCCTTGGGGGAATTCCATCCATGCCATCTGGTTTCCCCCATTTCCCTATTCAAAAAGATTAAAGGGCATACATTTTGGTGATCAAACACTGGGCGCCTAATGACAAGCGCTAAGTGGAAGGCAATCAATAATTTTGTAAGGCATTTCCGTAACCTTATGTAATCGCAGTGGTTGCATGGCTACGCCAAATTGAATGCCAATTAAAGTTCGTTCGCGAGGTCACCACGCTTCCAGATTAACGAATGGGGTCAGCGCTTGGTGACCCTGTTGATAAAAGCGGGGAGACCCCGAATCGCGTGCAAGTCAACAGGTTGATCGGGCGACAATTATGGCGAAATGAAATTATACTGAAACAAACGGAAACTATCTGAAAGTTGCTTCAATTCACTGTGTAAGTTTTGCCAAAGAAATAAAACTTCTGGACTACTTTTATCCGAAAAAAGTAATAGGTAGGCCCTAAAAGCAAAGTAAATATATTGTTAATGCCATAAAACTCGCACCATTAAAGTGGCAATACATTTGTATCCCAACCTGGTGACGCTAATGCAGTTTAAAGCCCAACAAATAGCTTTCCACTGAGACGCTCGCAAATTGCCAGTGATTTCCAAGTGTCGTAAGTCGCCGAGTGCCCGCAAAAAGTCCCACAAGTTCGAGGTTTTGCCCACCAACTAGGCCGCTCCTCATAACCCTTGTCGCAATCTGGAGGAGACTCCTCGAGTGACATAAATCAGGGCAGGACCTCCTCCGCAACCCTATCAGCATTGCAATCTCATCTCGCCGCGCTGGCCAACCGCAAGTTAAATAGTTTCGAGAACGGCCATTATATGGGATACATGGGTGAAATATGAAAAATGCCATCAAAACGCCGCGAAACGAACTCACTGACTAACCGAATGACTAACTGACTGACTGGCTCACAGACTGACTGACTGGCTGACTGACTGACTGGCTGACTGACTGACTGGCTGACTGAATGAATGACTTACTGACTCTCTGAATGAGTGACTTGGTGGAACTGAAAAGACGCCGGGCCATTTATAACCGGGCTGGGTTGGGTTTGGGTTAGATGCTAGCCTCCATGGGCCATGGGCCATGGGCCATGTTCCTCTGATGCGATAAGAATAATTGGAATGTCAGTTTAGATGCGCGCACGTAAAATGCGAACGCAAAGCGACACATACACATCCATTGCCGCCCCCGCAACGCAGCGAGGGGCGTGCCCAGCTGCACGTGTTGCAGCGAACACTGCAGAAAAAGTATGTTTACTTACACCATTTACTTACACCATTTTCTGTTTATAATTTTGCAAAATTCGTAAATTCTCCGAACTGAAGTTCCATAAATTAGAACAGATAGACGTGCTTCTCAGTGTAACAGCAGCAAATGCAGCACAATAGTTGCAGCAACATCGCTGATTTTGCTGCTGCTGCTGCTGCTGCTGATGTTGCTTCTGTGTCTGTCGGCGTCGTCGCCGGCGCACTTGGCTGAACAATGACATAAGTCTAATGACAAGCAGAACGACGATGACGACGATGGCCGAATAGCGAATAGCGAATGGCAACAGCGACCGCAGAGCCGCCGCCAGGAAGAAAGGACGAGGACGAGGACGAGGAGCAGGAGGTCCTGCGGGGTGCTCCAGCTGCTGTGATGACACTGACAACAATGACAACGCTGACATGACATGCCGGGAACAAGAACTCACAAAAAAGCGATAAAGCGACGTAAGAGCGGAATTTCAAGTTGGCCATAAAGAAGCTGTAATACCCTAAAGTATCCGAAGGCGAAAAGCGTGTACTGCACTCGGCGCTAAATTTGCAGCCATTAAAGTTGAAGCTCATCATATTTGCTCAGCTTGCAACTGAAATGTTGCTTAGCTAACAAGGCTGTTTCATATTTATTTTATTTCATATTTTATATACCTTGAATAGATATGTTGCAAGCAAGTGCTGGCCACCAATTGGCACTTCTGCAGGACCACTTCGCATATATAGCAATGCCGCCGCGAGTTCGGAAAGAAATCAAATTCGAACGCAGTGTAGTGCAGCGGGTGGGTGGTGGTGCACGAGTGGGTGGTGGTGCACGAGTGGGTGGACAGCGGGTGGGCAGGCTAAGCATAAATTTAGCTGCATGCTGCGGTCAGCAATATGCGTCCATGATAAACGAGCTGGAATAGGGTTTTTCGTGCAGCGCGGAGTGCGGAGAGTGGAATTTCAGGGGCTGTCAGGACAGGACACCGAGAGGATGCAGTGGAGCGGCCAGGCAGCCAGGCAGCCAGGCAGCCAGCCGTGCCCATTTATCGTCCAAATTGAAATTGAAAATCAGGCAGGCGCAACGCGCATCGGGTGGCAGCAATCGCTCCACAATTTCGGCGGCGCACATAATCGGGCATCAGGAAGCGTAGTTCCCGAGTCCCGAATCCTGTCAGAGCGGCTGCATCCGATGGCCACCAGCCACTTGGGTTCTGAAACACGGCGCCATGATTAGCTTGTTGCGCATGCGTTGTGGGCGTGTCCATTAGTCAGGGATCAGCAGATCCCGGAACTCGTCCGCCAGGCGAACATAAAATGGCCAGCAGAGGGGTCGACTCGTTGGCCACTTGTGTGCCACGTTGCATGTTGCAAGTTGCAGCTGCGGCTGCTGTGGCTGCTGTTTTCAATGTTGTTGCCACTTCTGTTCCTGTTGTGCCACCAATTCTGAACACTTTTTGTAGCTACCAGCTGCATATCCAGAGTTTCTGCTGACTTTGCCCCATTTCCTTCATCATTGCTGCCACACTGCAATTATAGCACTTCCCATTCCCCTGGTTGTTGTTCAACCGATATTGTTGCTGCCGTGGCCATACATCATTTTTCTGCTGCTGCTGCTGCTGCCACTGGGGCTTTTCAAAAGCATTGAAAACAAGTCAAGGAATCGTTTGTTTCTGTCGGTAAAAGTCATGAAAACTGTGAGTTATGTGTCGGGGAAGAAATGAAAAATTGAGGCAGACAAACTGCTGTAATGGTTAAAGGAATGCAAACGGGGCGTCAGTCATTACTCCTGAAATAATATATTCAAAATGAACCCATGTGATACATTCTGAAAATGTTTTTGCTTAGTGCCAAATATATAGATATTTGTTGCATATTGCTGGTGCAATTTGTACACCTGTTTTTCGGGAGTGACTTTGTACTTGGGGCTGTGAGTTTTAATTGAGAAAACGCATACTTGTAGTTACAATTTATATTTGTATTTAAGTTTTTTTTATTTAAATGGCCAATTTTGGCAATATCTGCTGTTCGCCCTCGACAAGAATAAAATGACCCGGAAATTATGAAAAGGAGCCAATTGAAAATGTAAAATTGCTGAGCTTGGCACAAAACTCATTTGACATTCAAATGGCAGTTGGCGCGGGGAAAAGGGGCGGGGAAAACACATTGAGGGGGTGGCATTCTCACTCGATTTTCGCAAAAAGTTAACGGCGAGCTGCGACTTTTGGCTAGTTTCTTGCTCGGATCGCTGGCCACTTCGCCTACATATATATTTCGCTTCCTTTTTATTTTTTTTTGATAAATGTCATGGGTTGATGGGCTGCCAAGGCCATTAGGCGACAGCCTCTCAAACGGGGTCAACAATATATTACACGCTTATATGCAAATGAGTTCAATTTCTGACCAACCGAAAAAGCATTATGGACTGCTGGACCTGACTGCGAATTTTTGGTGGTGTTGGTGGTGTTGGAGGAGGTTTTACGATGCTTTTGGTGGCTGAAGAAAATTGCCAAGTTAGTGAATTATAAAACGGCTGGGAGGCAGCTGCAGAAACGGAAATGCCAGGCCAAAATTGAAAATCTATGCAAAGGGCAAAAAGGGGCAGCAAATTGCTCGCCCGAAGTATGGATTTGATTTTTTTTCATTATTTTTTCTTTGTGAGTGAGTGGGTGTGAGTGTGGTTTCCATATAAGGGGGCTTAAATTTGCATAAGAAACCCTAAAATAAGCTTCCCAGTTTGCACGCTAGACTGGCCAACTTTCTTTTAGCCAATATTAAATGGGAATTTTCAGGGCTTTGAAAAAAACCAATACGAAACCAATTTTAATTGAATTAACATGGTAGTGACCATTTCTGGCCGCATTCAAGCACTAAATTGGTCAACTTATGACCTTGTCGTGCACCTTCGAGCTGATTTGCTCCAATCTGATTTATCTGTGCCAATTTACTTCACTTTTGCTGAAACTATTTCAATCAAAGACAAACTTTCAATTGGC